GTAAAGGTGTAACGATACCATACGAATTGTGAAGCCTTGATACAATTGTATCGATACATCGTCCGACACGATACGATTTATGTATCTTCACGAAACTTGGCAAGTTTCAGTAAGCATTAAAAGTCTTTTGTACAGAAAAAAATCAGAATTTCCAATAAAGTGTTTTTGCTAAAAAATTAATGATTTAATAAAGGAAGATGAGGATCGAGTACTACATGTAGACTTAATTTCTTTTATCAAAAACACCACATGCAAAGTAACATAACAAATTAATAATAACAAAATAAATAGACAGATATTAACCTTTTTTATTTTACTTCTCTTGCCAGCTACCATTTAGTTTATCAAACCTGAGAATTTGAAAAAAGCACTGTAGAGTGTGATGTAATTAAATAAGACAGTGTTAGTAATATAGATAATAAATTACAGACAATACTGTAAAACCTTTAACAAGCCGTTGGTAAAACTTCTATATCTAGATACGTACCGTATCGACTACCACGATGAGATACGCACCCCTAGTATTTAGTCGTATACTCTGCAGGCTCTGCTCTTCTCACAAAATATTTATTGAACATTTTTAAAGAGCTTTTACTGCAGAATCTCATGTACATTGAATCAAACTAGTGTCATTCACCAGTCGCTATAACTATGCATACGTGAAAAACTAAATTTATAAATTGCCAAGCCGAGGTACAGGTTGTTTATATTGTTATAAATGGTATTACCTGTTTACGGCAAGTTCGGCGAATGTTGATTGGCTATAGTATTTTCGATGAGCTTCCAGGTTAGGTAAAGTTTTATCTAAACAATTGTTTTACTAGCTGAAAAAAAAAAAATACAAACTGCAGCGTTACTCCAGAGACCTCATCATGATTAGGTGAAACAAAATTATCCAAGACAACTTCGTACAGGTCTGGCATGATGTGGCGTTTAGTGTGCTCGACTCGCAATCTGAAGGTCGTGGGTTCGAATCGCTGTCACCGAATATGCTCGTCCTTTCAACCGTGAAGGCGTTATAATGTGAAGGTCAGTCCCATTATTCGTTGGTAAAAGAATAGCCCAAGAGTTGGTGGTAGGTGGTGTTGATTAGCTGCCTTTCCTATAGTATATCACTGCTAAATTAGGGACGGCTAGCGCATATTAGCCCTTGTATAACTTTGCACGAAATTCAAAACAAACTAAAGGGCGCATTCTCTTATTTTTTTTATATAGATTAGGCGCTCCAAGTCATTTTGCGCTGTAGTTCATAAAACTGGTTAAATTTGCAGAACAACAGAACAAACCTCGCCAAACAAATTTTTTTAAACTCACGAAGCAGTAATGTTTTTTTTTTGTTTTTTTTATTCGAGATTCTCGCTAATAGTATAAAATTTTGATGTTTAGATCATGTTTATAATATTACCAAGGTAATATATTTTTTTTTGTTTTTACTTTATAGAATTTGTCCACCAGTGGCACAGCGGTATACCTATGGGTTTACAACGCTAGAAACCGGGTTTTGACACCCGTGGTAGACAGAGGACAGATAGTCCATTGTGTAGCTTTGTGCTTAACTTCAAACAAACAAACAAATTATAGAATTTGTTTTAAAAGATATCGCTTTGCATAAGGTATAAAAGACTCGATGTTTATTTTCTCTTATGGAGATGGTGTTTCAAGACATTAAGAACACCTTCCACTCATAGTATATAACATATGAAAAATGCTGTAAAATATATTAAAAACAAAAATACCGATAATCCATATGCTCAATTAATAATAATAATTTAGAAATAAGAAAAAGTTCTCAAATAATAATTGAACAGATAAGTATTGCTATAAATTTTTAAACCATAGACTTAAATATTTGGTGTTAAATGATTTAACATTATTGCTGTCATCTGCAAACAAGAGCATCGGAACAGTTTTGTGTGTATATATTTTTATTATATATTGGTTAGGGCGCTTGACTCGCAATCTGAGGGTCGCGGATTCGAATTCCAGTTCCACCAAACGCCGTGAGGGCGTTATAATGTGACGGTCAATCCCGCTGCTTGTGGTAAAAGAGTAGCCCAAGAGTTGGCGGTTGGTGGTGGTGGCTAGCTGTCTTCCCTCTAGTCTACCACTGCTAAATTAGGGACGGCTAGCGCAGATAGTCCTCGTGTAGCTTTGCGCGAAATTCAAAACAAAACTGTCATATGTGAAATGAAAAGTGATACAAATTAATATCGGAAACGAACTATACTTTTTTCATATTTGCAGTAAAAGTCGACTGGAAATATGTTTTCATCAATCACTTACAATGTTTTCCTCATAATTCTATGTTGGAAGGGATATGCGTATTGCCTTTTTAACCCTTTATTTTCAGGTTAATGTTAACTGTTTTAGTTATAAAAGATCATGATTAATGACAATATCTGTCCAATAATTTCAACGAACTGTTACTTATGCAGACTGATTCCGAATTATTGCGCATGTCTAGTGTGTTTCTTCTGGTTCTATAAATTATGTACAGTTACCATGCCACGAAAGGAACGCCGACCATGTATATCCATGCACAGTTACCACATCGTACTACCAGACAAACGACGACCATGCATATACACGCACAGTTACCTCATCATATCACCAGACAAACGACGACCATGCATACCCATGCACAGTTACCTCATCATATCACCAGACAAACGACGACCATGCATAATACCCATGCACAGTTACCTCATCATATCACCAGAAAAACGACGACCATGGATATCTATGCACAGTTACCACATCATACTACCAGACAAACGCCGACTATGCATATACATGCACGGTTATCTCATCATATCACCAAACAAACAACGACCATGGATATCTATGCACAGTTACCTCATCATATCACCAAACAAACAACGACCATGGATATCCATGCACAGTTACCACATCATATCACCAGACAAACGACGACCATGTATATCCATGCACGGTTACCACATCATACTACCAGACAAACGACGACCATGGATATACATGCACGGTTACCACATCATATCACCAGACAAACGCCGGCTAAGCACATCCATGTGCAGTTACCACATCATACCATCAGAAAGACGCCGGCTGTGCATACCAACCTGGACCAGTATTCTGACTGTGAGCGTCTGGATGGTTCTGTTTCTCTTCCACGGGACCTTTCGCTAAAAAGAATTTATCTTTTGACGAATTATCCTTGTAGTTATTGATTTACGTAATTCAGATATCGAGCGTTTATGATGAAGTTCACTCTCCCACCCTTTTCATAAAATATGCATAGATAATTATATTAATTTAAAAAAAGCAATTTTAACGCGTTACTGACGTTACGATGCTTCGAAAATCCATACAGCCAAGTTTCGATTTCTTGCAATCTTCATTGGTCATTATAGTTAAAGATACCTGATATTATTATCATGAGTTAGGATACCTGATATTATCATGAGTTAGGATACCTGATATTATTATCATGAGTTAGGATACCTGATATTATTATCATGAGTTAGGATACCTGATATTATCATGAGTTAGGATACCTGATATTATCATGAGTTAGGATACCTGATATTATTATCATGAGTTAGGATGCCTGATATTGATATCATGAGTCAGGATGCCTGATATTGATATCATGAGTCAGGTATAAATATAAAAATATTATTTTTCGTTTCGTTGTTTTTATATTGCTTCTAGTGCACTAGAGAACAACGTGGGAAAATTATATAGGAATCCTATACAAATTTCATGTTTTAAACTAATTTTTACCGTCCCGTGTAGATAGCAGCCCATGACATTATTGTATACATTTGGTAACTTTTAATAAGGTTTAAAGCGGAAGTGCCCATATCTGCATTTTGCCAGCTAGATTTCTAACATGGTTAGCTATTTTCAATATCGTCATAGTACTGATATCAAGTTAGTTCAAAACAAGTTTTAAGAACTTAGCTGATCTGGTAAAACTTTCAAGTTGGGAGTTTCAACTCAACAGTTTCCTGTATTATACCACGTGGGTTGTTTTGGAATTAAATGGAAATCTGTAGTTTTGTTACACCAACTTCACTTTCGTTATGAGTTATACTGTAACTGTAGATCATTATAAGATGGTTAAACACGAATAAAATGATTGCTAAAGTATTGATTTACAAGAATTTAAAAGCATCTTTTCCGAACAAATACATGCACGGGAGCTAACTATTTCCCTTCCCGAGACTTCTGTCTTGGCTGCGAAGCGAAAGTAAAAAGATCCAGTGAACATATATCATAAAGATTGAATTAAGTCGGCTGGTAGTGTATACCGTTGTGTAAGACACTGGCCAAAATCGTAATATAAAATTCCAACGACTGGTCGATGGTCCGTCTAGCTGACTCTTAGCATAATGTAAGCCTATGACAACATACATATATTTTATATTGGCAGTTAAAAATGTTTTGTCGTTCGTGCAGAATAATGATAGCATAACATACACTTTCTGTTCTGTACGGAGCGGTAATTGTTTATCAGAACAATGATAATTTTCTGTTATCGTCCGTGTTTGTTACATGTACGTAAAACACGAAGGAACATAAAACAGCATTCCATACAAACTACATTCTTCCCTCTCTCTTTTATTTTTTGGATTAGCGATTCAGTATCGTTTCTCATGCGTTTACTCATGACATAGATTTTCAACTAAAAGCCGTTGTTGTTCACGTAGTTTGATAATATAAATAGTGTCTCAACCACTAACATTGTCATATCCCAGCTAGTCTGATGAGCTCTGGTATTGGACGAAAGTCCTCGTCGGCCCTGGTTATAATAGATATAGTGTGGACGACTCGTTGTTATACATTTTCTTTACTTTTACTCATAAGTTATTATAATTGAAGTAAAATATGGACTGCTACTTAAGAAAAGGTGTCTGGCTGGGCCATGTTTGTTCGACCTTTTCACCCTTCTCTGTTAGTGTCAGATTGATGTTGTTTGTATCTCACAGTATCTATAAACTTTCCCTAGTTGAAAAATATAAAGTGATTAGTTATTTTATCACGTTTTGTGAACTGCACCAGGCAGTATGGATTGATCAGTGTTTCGTGTATCAACACAATAGTCGTACGTGTATCAACTAATGCCTACCATGTCGTCCTTAACTTACTGTTGCCTTTCGTAAAGGCTTAACAATTACTTGATGTTTCTTAACATCCTGCTTTTGCCTATGATTGTACAAAATAATTGTCAATATATCGTCAAAGGTGCAAGACCTGACCACTAATCAGATATTTCCACATGATTAATAGCTTAAATAACTTGACTGAGAATTTATTAAGTGTTCAGTAAAGAACGTAATAATATACGTGTGTGTATATAAGTGCATTAAGCACGTTCCGGAAAAACTTATTTAACAAAGTTTATCATCTGCGTCTCTACGTGGTATTGTGTGTTGTAGTTTAATTGTATTATATTCGTGTCTCAGGTGTATCCTGATCCAGATACCGAGACCACAGTGATGAGCTCACTGGTTTACTGTATACATTACAAGGAAGGCTGTAAATGGACCGACGAGCTTAGGAAATTACAGGTAAGTCTTTGGAAAATTCATTTAAATTGGGTCAGATTTAAGTTAGAAAAATATTTTTAATTTGGGAAAAACGTTTGGATTATAGTAATGGCATCATGATATTCCGTATGTGTAGCATTATTATTTCTTTGTACAGCCCTAACATCACCAGAGCGCTAGATATAATGTATATTTTAGGATGGGAAAGGCAGAAATGACTTAAATGGACCTTTTTAACATCATCACATATTTTATTACAGTTTACATGTTTACTCGATTTGATAAGGTACAGAAACATGGATGTAGAAATATCAAATACGCTGTTATGTTTTTTGTTTTTTATGGTGTATTGATATATTAAAATGCTTTGTTTAACTCAGAAGTGTACACGCACGAAGAAATATCAAAGATTCCTTTGTAGTGGTTCTTGTGTATTGGATAACACAGAAATGTTAAACATTGCGTGATATTGATGTTGGATACCTTCAAGCACCCTTATAAGCTGTGATTTGGACATGTTCTATTCAGAATCCTAAATGTAGGATATTTCATTTTAACAAAGTTCTGGTCATTATTGCTGGCATAGTAAGGTGATATTTTTTATCTTCTCACCCTCTCACAACTGAGTTGAAACAAGGTGACCTGTGTTCCGAAAAATTCTTGAGAGGGGGGGGACATATTTTCGTCACAGAGATTTTTAAGCAATTTAATTTTTTTGATTTCTCAGAAAGAAAGAGAGACCAATCGCGTGGTGCCGCTATGGTAATAAAAATAACTATAACTTCTATAATGTTGCATGCTTCTCACCAGTCGTCACTCTGGTCCTCTCCTTCCATTGTTAAATATTTTTCTATTTCACTGCGTCATACTTATAAACTACCAATTCACTTTAATATCTAAATCAGAAAATTTGACTGTTTGTAAAAGTGGACACACGTGCCAGATTTGAATGCTTTATGTGGTAAACTTGCATATTATTATAGCCTTTGTTTTCTGTAATCTAGACGTTTCTAGAAATTTGTGTTGTTGTTTAGCTGGAAGAAAAATTAACATAACATGATGAGCGTAGTTAGACGTCTGTAACTTTCTCCAAAATTTAGGAAATAGTTTGAGTCACATAATAAGCGAGCTATACAGGCTAGAGTTAGTCGATGAATCTGTTGGAATGAATTATTAAGTTATCAACTCTGTCAGTCAGGTGATGAGTAATCAGTGCATGATTTAGTCAGTCACTTAGCTAGTTCAGTGCTGTGAAGTATGGAGTGTGTGTTTCGAAGAAGAAATAAAGTAGGTGGATTTCCGTTAGACGTAATTTATTTGTGAAGTCAGTCCTATCGGTGAACGTTGGTCACGCTAGCCATGTAATTTGAAGTTGAAGAAATGAAAATTTATCATTAACTACACTGAATTTTGCATCATTATTTTTACCGTGTAATCTAAAAGAACCTGGCAAATAATAAAAACCATCACTATAATATTAAAACGCAGCATAAGTTGTTTTATTAGACTTATGTATCTAAAACAGATCATTTTACAGCATTATGACATTCTATTGTGCTTTTCAACTTCCTAGTGGGTCAAATTTAAATGCTGAAACCGTCCAGGCATCACATATATCTAATTCCATGTTTGAATTGAAACTTTCGTCCTGGTATTCTTGGAATTTTGACATTTATACGTATATAGAATTTAGCAGGTCGAGAACTAGTAGTTAAACATTAGTAGTTTAGATTCGGTGACGAGGAACCCACTTTGAAACTAATAATGGCTGGAGACGGCTTGAATGGGTAATGAAGAAAAACTTTAATATAAGTTTAACATAACAGCAAATGTACAACGTTTCGACAAGGTTTTGTTATCATCATTAGTAGTTTAGCTTATTTGTTGGATTTGTTTTTCAAATGGTTATAATTGCATTTATGTGCCCTTCTTTCATATTAGTTGGGTATTTACCCCATATTTAAAATTAGCATTCAATGGAAACCTGGCCCGCTACTTCTGCATGCATATCTCCTGACAAAGCTGAACATACAAAAATGTCAAAAGTCTTTGAAAGCGAAGTGGTTAGAAAGATCTGGTAACAAACCCGACTGCTTGAACCAGTTCACCAACGATACAATTATGTATGTCTCCGCCATCACACGAGATCTATTATGTATGTCTCCGCCATCACACGAGATCTATTCATACTAATCGAGGACTTCTTTTGTGATTTTTCTTTTTGCTTCACGTCGTTGCTAGTAAAAGTATTTATTTGTGGCTAAAAACTTCGGTTTAGTAAGCATAAAACTTGATACACAAGCGTTGTAAAATAGCGTTATATTCAAGAATGTTATTGTATCAAACTTTAATACCAATCTTTCTGGATTATACATGCTTGAATAACTCATAAGTTAAATAAAAATGTTTAGCAATATCAGCTATCGGTAGATTATTAAAAAGTCATCAAATACAAAACATATGAAGTAAAGCGGAATAATCCGGTTATCAAAGGCTTAATATTTACAGTAGGTTAGTCTTTCTGAAGTAAGCAAAAACTTTAGGTATATTCGTTAATTAGGTTAACATATTTTTAATGGCCATGAAAGCTGACCACGTTATGTACAAAGAAGCTGTCCACGTTTGCATCATGGAGACTAACAGCTAACAGAACACGTACTGAAAAACGTGTTTAGCCTAAGATACAATTGGTATTTGTTTAGTACAATTATAACATGCAAGGTAAACGAAAGACCTTGAAATACCCTCAAAGCAGCGCACTATACTGCTGTGTTTATATTGTACTATTGTTGTATAGGAATGTGACCCAAGTTACGTGAAAACAAGTTTTAGTGTGCGGAGACCAGTTTAAAGATCCGTGTTTTAAGAGTCTAGTTTTGGCAAACTGATAAGACTGGATACTAGAAAGAAAGCAATGGTACTGTTTCCCTGCAGTGTGACTGTTAAATATTCTCATATAAATAAGTACATTATGAGATTAAGTAACCAGAAGCAGTTGTAGAGAGGTTGTATGTTCCTATTCCGAATTTTATTTCTGTGGCATCCTCTCTTGACAACAGAATTTTGAATTCATAGTGACTGAGTCAGGCTCTAAGAAATGTCTGTATCCCGACATAGCTGGAGTGGCTATACATGCTTAAAGGTTAGGAATTCTTATTAGTTTTTCTCTTGTAATTGTACAGTTTCACAAAAATTCTAAATTAAGTAGAGAGCCTGAAAGGTATGATACAAATTTGATTTTCAAATAGCTAAGCCTTTTACATTCGGATCCTGCTTGTATCCGTGCACACCAGTAAATGAACTAAATCACTTTATCCTTGTTGGTTATTGGTTGAAAGAGGTCCAGTATGTTTGGGGCATCTTAGGGCAATATGGACTTGTTGCTTAAAGGATAACATAAAGGGTGTGAATTTTTTGTACTTGTCAGTTTTTGGATACAAGTCTGTTCTCATCTTTAAAACGATATGCAGGATTACCTTATTACTCTATGTTATAGTGTTGTTTTTTTTTTCGTTCTTTTTTGCCTTAATTGATATATAAAACATATATAGAAATTCAATTTTGGTGAATAACATTAATAGATTATAAAAGACCAGAAAAAGGGATTATTTCAGTTAACTAACTTCAGAGGCGTCGCTAGGTGCTTAAAAGATTCGGAGCTCGGGCCCGAACACACTGGCATTTTTGGATTTTCAGTACGATAGGAATCATGGTTTTCTGTTTTGGTTTTTCAGGAACACCAAATGGATTCGGAGTACTGTCAAATAGAATCGAGGCATGGGCCACGTGTGCCAGTGCCTAGCGACGCTTCTAACTAACTTGTATAAGGTTGGGTTTATAACAATGCTCTGATTTTGAAAGAAGTTTTATAAGAAATTGTGAGGTTAGCATTATGTATACTACATTATTGTAAATGGCGTTTCTTTGGTTCAGTTGCTTAATAACATATATCAGGTTAAATGACATTAGAAAAAAAGATGATACTCTAACGCTTCGACTGGTGGACCCATCTTCTTCAGGAGTAAAGGAAGAATCGTAGAGTTATATGATGAACTGTTTTAAACTTACTTGGTTGCACATCGTATTCAATATTTTATTATTTTGGTATCTATGCCAGTTGAAAAAAGAATACTATGATTTATATTTTTATAAATGTGCTATCCAGTTCGTGTCTCTGTCATGTATGCATATTTTACTTGTATGGCGATTTTCCAATATGTTTCTCTCACGTAGGGTCACTTGAACACGTGCAAGTATGACGCCGTCCCTTGCTCCAATCGGTGCGCCGCCATGATTCCCAGGCTACTCATGGAAGACCACTTGTTTTACACATGTCCCATGCGGAGGACCAGATGCGAATTTTGTAACAGGGAATTCAACGGAGAAATGTTGGAAGTAAGTTAACGCCAAAAGCATGTTTTAAAATAATTGTTTTCTTGATACACAGTTTGCCAGCACAGAAACCACGAGTGACATAATCAGATTCTGCACTTTGTTATTTCGAAGTTACATAAAACTTTTAATTTACTTTTTTTTAATTATATTGTTTCTCAGTTTCGTCAATTAAGGGGGCAATATAAGAGTAATAGTCATTCTATTCGATTAGACAAGGATTGGCCAAGAGTTGGCGGTGACTGCTGTTGATTAGATGTCTTTAGTTTCAGTTAAAAATTACGGAGGGCTGTGCGCAGATAGCCCTTGTGTAGCTTTTCGCGAAATTCTGAAACAAACAAAATCACCTCCAGATAGATTCTCTGTAGTGCTTTAAGAAAACAAAATATTGTCTAAATAATATGATAACAAAAGTTTCTAAAAACTATACTGGCCTGTTCAACAGTAATCTTAGTAATAGTAGATAATGATAATGTTGCATTGATTTAGGGTTATAGTGTTTGTACGTGTATTGGTACTGCCAGTACAGGTTTTCTTGTTTGTTTTATTTTTGTAATTAACGAGTGCCATCAATCAACATTTTGATGTGGGTGGGGGGGGGGAAGAGTGATGGCGATCTAATAAGATAGTAAAATAACAGATTATTTGTTACTGATGCGAAAAAGAGAGTCTACCAACGATCCAACTCGGAGATAAAGGTTGTTAGTACATACTTTATCGTGCTTCGTGTAATGCTTACTTTCTTTGAACATTACTGTAACACGAAGTTTTGCTGACAAGTATGTTACATATAGCGAAATTAATGATGCGTTGGTTGGAGATAATTGAAACATTGATCATTTCTGTTACGGCACGCGGTGGGTTTATGAGCTAGTGCAGTTGTTATAAAGTAGCTTGTTAACAAAGTGTCTTTCATTCTGTGACACTGAATGATTAAGGTGTCAGTTAACAAGAGTGAAGAACTAAATGTATAAATTATAAGTGAGTGACTAGTAAATTCAAATCAGTTCATTTCAAAATGAAATAAATAAATGAAATACATTTGACTAGTACATTATGGGTTCTAATTTTTGTGAAATGTATGAATAGTAGAACAAGGAAATTAAGAACCAACAAAATATTTCCTAAGAACAAGCTTCAACTCAAACACAAGGGATATTTTCTAAGGACAAATTTCAACTCAAACACAAGGGATATTTCCTAAGGACAAATTTCAACTCAGACACAAGGGATATTTCCTAAGAACAAGCTTCAACTCAAACACAAGGGATATTTCCTAAGGACAAATTTCAACTCAAACACAAGGGATATTTCCTAAGGACAAACTTCAACTCAAACACAAGGGATATTTCCTAAGAACAAGCTTCAACTCAAACACAAGGGATATTTCCTAAGAACAAGCTTCAACTCAAACACAAGGGATATTTCCTAAGGACAAACTTCAACTCAAACACGGGATATTTCCTAAGGACAAGCTTCAATTCAAAAACAAGGGTGAAGCAGATAAGATTTGTTTGTATTTAAGAGCAAAGTTACGCAATGAGCTATTTACATTGTGTGCCCACCGCGGATATGGAATCCTCATTTTTAGCATGATAATCATTGCCCCCCCCCCAGGGGGAGGGCAGAAGATAAGGAACACTAGAAAACATTATAGAGAAAATAACGGTTTTAATAACATTCATCGTATCAACCATATAGTGTACTTTTAAATCTGGAACAAGAGTATTCAGATCGTAACTATAAAAAATACGAAAATTTTGATGTACAAACTGTTAGAAGTCAAAGAGTTGAAAAGTAACCCCATTTAAGAATTGCCACTTATTTTGAGTTAATTAGAATTAGCCAAAAAATACTAAATTCTGTTAACGAACTAAATCTTACTTTATCAGTTTTTGCCACGATACGAGTTATTCTAGTTAAAACATTATATCCCACGTCATCATTAATTTCACTGAAAAAAAAATCCTTTACTTGATGATGCGTTTTAAAAGAGATTTTCCATTTTGTTGCAAATAATTATGCAAAACTTGCAGCTAAAATAATATATATATATATATATATATGTATGTGTGTGTGTGTGTGTGTGTGCATGCATAATGCAATTATTTCCATTTGGTAAGAAATTTTACCCACCTATCTTACTTGATGCAAACTTACCTCTCAACAATAATCATTAGTGGAAATAAGAGCTGAGACTGTTTAAAAGAACGGTGGCAGAAACCATTTGTAAATCTTAATTTGACTTGAAGCTGAATTGTTTTTTTTAACCTAGTTTACCACAATTCTCTAGGGTCACGTGGGGAGCTGCCAGTACGAGCCAGTTTTTTGTGAGAATAAGTGCGGAATGAAAATTCAACGCAGATTTGTGACCAATCATCGGATGAATGAATGCTCAAAGAGGCTGGTGCCCTGTCGGTACTGTCAGAAGGAGTTTGTGTATGATACCCTTCAGGTTAGAACTTCATATTGTTTTGTGTAGTGTAATATATATATATGGGCGTCCGCAGGGGGAGGGGGCAAGATAGCGCACTTGTCCCCCACCCCTGGAAGATGAGAAACATAATTATTTCTTTCTTCTTTCATCATATGTATACGATTCTATTTATTCAATTCACAATTTCACACTACTTTGCCCCCTCCCCCGGAGAACTTTGCCCTTCGATGGAAAAATATCTGGGGACGCATATACACACATCAGACAGCTTTCTTGAACTCCTGCATAGATGTAAACAACGCAGATCACTATAAATTAATCACAAACGAAAATCTTTATTTTTTATTTTTTTTACGAAAATCAAGTTAAACTGGTGAAGTCAAATAAAAGCTGATGCGTACCATCCCACCAGGGTTCGGATCCCCGTTCTACCAAACATGCTCGACCTTTCAGTCGTGGGGGCGTTATAATGGAACGGTCAATCCCACTATTCTTTGGTAAAAGAGTAGCCCAAGAGTTGGCGGTGGGTGGTGATGACTAGCTGCCTTCTCTCTAGTCTTTCACTGCTAAATTAGAGACGGCTAGCGCAGATAAACTTTGTGTAGCTTTGCGCGAAATTCAAAAACAAATCATTCCACCATGAATGATAGGAAGGCGATCATGGCTATAAGAAGTGATCCATAATAAGTTGATGGAACCTATGTGCATGTTTGGAAAGCTGTAGATCTTTTTGTTCAAACAAAAACTTATAAATATAAAGGGTCTCAGTGAACTTTGTATTGAAAGTTAAATCGTGAAGATCCCTGTAATATTTATCATTATGTTTTAATTAAATACGTATCCGTTAGATGGCAATGAAATGTGAAGACGTTTTTCGAATGATAACAGTAATTCCGGAGAGATATAGAAAAATTGCAGTCACTTTTCAGGAATCAAAATTAATTTATAAAACAACAACAGTAATACACAAACTAAAAATTAATAGAATATTCAAAGTAAACAAGTAATGCTGTTCATTAATTAAGGAAACTATACAACAGTGTCATTCAGGTACACTGATTTCGGCCAGAAGAAAGTTGCAAGTATTCGCAATAAAACAGTTTCGAATATGTTATGCAACGAATAATGTATAATACGAATAGTAAAGGAAAACAAGAAACTATGGGTTATATTACAAAGTGATACGTTTATAACTTAACGGAAAACGTCAAATTTACATATAGCGACTAGCACAATTTACGTGGTGGTCACTCTCTTTAATTCAAACATAGGGAAGACCATAACCTTGTGACATCGTCTGACCATCACCGAAGGACACTGACTTTCAACATTTTTGCACAACGTTCAACATTACAACTGTTTTTCATGGACAGAACAGGTGTGACCTCCATAGAATGATAAGGAACAAAGGCAACTAGAAGGAAATCAACGTAACGACTTTCTTTACCATGTGTATGCATATTTATAAAGTTCCAGCAAGAGGAAAGTAATAAGTTGCCCTTACTGTAAGAAACTTCTCTATCCCTCATAATGTGTGGACAATTGAAGTCGAGAAACTGGGAACTCGTATCATGTGGAGACATGGATGCGAGGTTAAGCTAGCTTCAAATGGCATCACAGGAAATCCCAGTGCACTACATGGCAATTACTACACTAGTGGTTCAACGTCCAGTGGAAAAAGGGACGGTGGTCACTGCACCACCAAGAAGTGAAACGTACATATCGAGAGTTTTTTTTTTAGCAATAATTCTTTATCTAGTAACTGGGGCATAGTGGAACCAAATATTACAGCGTGTCACGAGGAATTGGTAGGTGGAAAAGCAGTCTTGGATGTTAAGGATGAAGATGTCATACATGACTTTACCCAGGAAAGACTTGCATCATTTAGTGATAAAAGGTGGTTATTCGGTAAGTGCTGATAAAATTGGATTTCATTGAGGTGACGTGGTATGACAGAACAGTTTTCTTTGTGAGAGAGGACAAACTGTAAAGTTAAATAGGTGTTTGAAGGATAAGTAATTCAAGCCAAAGGTCATCCATTGTGAATGTCTTTGGAAATATATCGATTAGAGAAATACCAAGTGGGTAACTCCAAAGAAGAACTTTTCACTAAATGCTTAACCTGTTGAGGAGCCTGATGTTCCATTTAGAAACTACTTCCAGAATATTATGAAAGATGAAATTACCAGAAGATTCACCCTATCACCTACCCAGGAAGAACTCGGCGAGAGGACGACCAGTGACAACAAGGGACAAGACGCTATCCCATCAGTATACTATGGGTCTCGGAAGAAAAAACCACCAAATAGTTTGATGTAAATGATATAAAAGTCACAGTAGAAGCGTTACCTGGTTTATTTTGTTCTTGACAAACATGTGAATGTCGTGGAAGTTTGGATGGCGTGTGATGTAGACACGGTGTTTCAAAAGTCACTGCATTGTTATTGGGAGAAAAAAAAACGACAGAAAAAGAATTATGTTTTTGCCTTACTTTGGGAATTTTTTTTTTTACTTGATGACAAACATTGATTTTCTTCACATTTGACCTAAAATTATTTAAAACTGTCTATTAAATTTGCTATGGTACTTTTGGCTGAGATAGTTTAAATGCACCAATTTCTGGTCGTTCTCCATCAACTTTTTTATATAACTTGACCATTGTAGTCTCTGTCGTTAACTTTAAAAGAATGCTAACAGTTTTAAACAGTACTCATGATTTTGTGTACAGAAATATGAAAAACTTAATTTTTGAATGAATAAAATTTGTTGATTTATGTGTTATTTTACAAATTAGATATTAACCACGTAGAAGAAAAAAATGTGAAACATTAATGTTGCTACATAATAATAACGATATGAATGAAATGAAGTTTATAATATCTTCAAATTTGAAAAGTTCTTCAATTATCACCTTACTAACACAAATTTTGCAAAGATCTGAAAACTATAGGTATATTTGCCTGATAAAAAAAAAAAACATTGTCAGTAACAATATGCAAAACTAGATGAAGATGTTAATATCTTTTTAAATATTAGAACCACACATCCAAGTGTCCGAGGTACCCTCTGCCATGCCCTAACCGCTGTGAACCATTAAAGGTTCCTCGAGAAGACATGGAAGTTCATCTAAAAGAACAGTGTCCATCTATAACACTCCAGTGCGCATTCAGAGACATGGGTTGCAAGTTCAAGGTAAGCTACATAGTATAATAGCCTGTTTTGTCGGTTTTAATATAGTGCTAAATAATAATTTTGAAAATAAAGGTTTGTTTGTTTGCGAGACACGAAGCTACATAATTGGCTATGTGAGCTCTGTCCACTGCGGGTATCGAAATCCGATTTCTAGCCTTATAAGCCCACTGAATTACCGCTGAGCCACTGGGAGGCTCATCGCTAAGCTGACATAAACTTCACTGCGCCATCTTTCTTCAGAGTTAAGATGCATGGAACCGATTGGTACAAAGTATTTGTTACATAGTATAGAACCTATAACAGTTGTTATGTACACAAGTTTTTGTCCTGAAATAACTTTATTAGTGTTTTCATTATTTACTTGCTAAGAATTGTTTCATTGTAGCTTTTTTGTTTTATTATAGCTATCTGCTGTTTCCACTACGAGGAATCGAACCCCGGATTTTAGCATTGTAGTTCATAAACTTACCGCTACCCAACCGGGGAACATTCATTATAACATCTGGTCATTTTGGAGATAACTGCTTTTCATCTGATCTTGTATACGTAACGTAAAATTCCATTACTTAAAATATGGAGCACACACAGCAAACATCAAGTATAAAACAGTTCGATGTTGTTTTATGGAACTTCACAATAAGTTTATGAGCTTATAAGAAGATCTGTAAGCCTAAAGATAAAAAAACTAATGATTGTTTAGTTAATCTAATTATTCTGTGTAGTTGAGGTTGATAATAATCCTGCGTTTTGTTTTTGATTTTTTGTCTCTTGCTAAACCTACCTGTGGCCCGGCATGGCCAGGTGGATAAGGCGCTCGACTCACAATCTGAGGGTCGCGAGTTCGAATCCGCATACCACCAAGCATGTTCGCCCTTTCAGCCGTGGGGGCGTTATAATAGTCAATCCCACTATTCGTTGATAAAAGAGTAGCCCAAGAGTTGGCGGTGGGTGGTGATGACTAGCTGCCTTCCCTCTAGTCTTACACTGCTAAATTAGGGACGGCTAGCGCAGATAGCCCTCGTGTAGCTTTGCGCGAAATTCCAAAAACAAACAAACAAACAAACAAACCTACCTGTGGGTTTGGTGTTGAAGTCCAACAGGTGAAGAAAGGGAGTTCAGTAGCATATCTAATATTTTGGTATAAACGTGCCACTACCATGTATAACTCGTTTCAGATATTGGTCCCTTGCTTTTCCTTAATGACAAGCTGTTATAATGCACAATATATTCGGTTTATTAAATCATTCTAACAGTACCAGACAGTAACATTATTAAACTGCTGTGGTAAACTAGGTTAAAGCTTTATGTTTGGTATTCTTTTGAGCGTACACCCATTGGGGTTTAAAGTTCGTGCAACAATCGGTATTCGGTAATAGTATTTTTGTGTTCGGCAGTCAAGGTAAGGTAAAGCTAACCCAGTTGTTTTCATGATTTTCTATAAAGTGTCATTTCTCGTTCTACTTTATTAAGGTTCTGTTGTTAAGACGCTTCTATAGTAATGTGTAAGTCTCTTTACGTGGTCAGCGTGTCGGATTGTGGATCCGAGGTTCCATGGTTCGCGCCCCGTTACGGCCAAAACAAGAAATCAAGCTCTGCACTTAGAGATCGTGAGATCATTATAACAGTAATTGTCAAATCCCACTATTCGACTAGAGTTACCCAAGAGTTGGTAGTAGGTGGTGTTGACTACCTACCTTCCGTGAAGTCCATTACTTCAAAATTAGGGACAGTTGTGCATAAGTAATCCTTGTGTAAATTTGCGCATCATGATAACCAGGTATATTTATGGTCGGATTATCATTCTCCAATTTATCTTGCATAATATTTCTGAGGTTCTAAGAACGTTCAAAAGTATTAATTGTTTTATGTCATTCTGTAGCGATTTAAGTTACCTATCTTATTCCGAACTTGATATAGTTTCTAGCACCAAATTTTGGAACATCTTTAATATTAGCTTGCTATTTAAAATGTAATTTTTATACTTTGTAATGCTTCTACTTTTTCTTGAATTTGTTTTTAGGGGCCACGTTTTGCTTTGGAACAGCACATGGAGGAAAGTGCCAACTCCCATCTTGTTTTGATGTGCGGTTTAGTATCAAGACAACAAAACCAGATCACTACGCTTCGAAATGCTCTTCAGGCCCTAACACTCAGTACTTCTGGAGAATTGCTGTGGAGGATTAGTGATTTCACTCAAAAAATGACCGAAGCGAAATCCAAGGAAGGTTATGAGCTGTGCAGTACTCCGTTTTATACCAGCCAGTGTGGTTATAAACTGATGGCAACGCTCTTCTTAAATGGTAATGGAGCTGGAGAGGGTAGTCACTTGTCAGTATATATCAGGATATTACCAGGAGAATACGATTCCCTCCTTTCCTGGCCTTTCTCACATACTGTTTCTTTCACTCTTCATGATCAAGCAGCCTCTCCAGAGAACGCCTGCAACATTGTTGAAAGTTTTGTACCAGACCCTTCTTGGAAAAATTTTCAGCGGCCCAGCAAAGAGCCAGACAGTTTGGGGTTTGGGTTTCCTAGGTTTGTCTCACACGAAACACTAAGAAAGCTCGACTATATAAAAGATGATACTATATTTATCAAGGTTAAAGTTGATTCTAGTAAAATCGTAGCAGTATGAAAGGGTTGATTATGTATTTTCTCTTGTATATGATGTTAAGCTTAATACATTAGATATTTAAAGGCTGTACAGCTAATTATTAAAATAACTGCAAGATGCGGTAATGTAAAACAAGATAGTATGCGGTGTGAACTGATACACAGAAGATGTTATTAGCTTTGTAAAATACAACGGCCAAGAAGTCATACAAAACTTTCTTTGTGTTTTCATGTCGTATCAACTTACATTGCAGTTTCATACTTGGTTCGTCACATTAATATATATTTATCAAAAAAGTCTTATTTTCCCTGTCTGCAAATGTTATGCAGTTTTTATTTCTCCTTCTTCAATGCTTCAGGTTTATAGAGTTAAGTGAGTGAATACTATGTCAGAGTATACAATACCTTAAATGTCAACTAAGGGTTGGTGTTTTACTTATGTATATATCTTTGTGCTAGTCAAAGAAAAGAATTCATCGTAGATCATGTAAATGTGGTAATAAACATAGATGTTGGTAAGGCCTATGTTATTCTTCTTGTTTATGATGGGTACATTTTGTTAAGTTTGTATAATGACATCGATGTAAGATGACCAATTCATTAAGCTTTCAACGTCTATTTCTCTCTTATATATAATGACCAATAAATGAAACGCGTTTTCATGTTTGTGACGTAATTTTTTACCATGCTCATTAACTTAAGTTTATTCGTGTATTATCGGAAAATTGTTCATGATATGATGTAAAGGTAACCACTTATAGCATTTCATTGCTATTTTTAAACTTAATATTTTACGACGTTTTCCAATTGCGTGTGTATGTGTGCGAAAGTGAGCCAATCAGTAAATTTATACCTTATAAACAAAGAATGTTATTAACCTTGTAAAAAGAACCTAAGGTGTAGTACAAAACCAGTCAGAATAGATAAAAGCTCAAAGTTTGTATTTAAAATCCTAAAATAATTGGGAACTTCCAACGTTGATTTCTTATAACACCCAGCTGAAGACTTTCATATGTAGATAAACTTAAGGCTTCTGTTGCATATTTTGAGAATTTATACGTACATTATTTCAGCTGATCATGACCACATTCTCTATTGTAATATGGATACAACGGTTAGCTAGCAGCTTCACCACAGAAGAAAGTAGACTTGTATAATTTTTCTTTCCTTGGTTCTCTTGTGGCAAGTAAAACTTTGGCCTAGTTGGTTGAGTAAGAGATTATATAAACTTAAGGTTAATCCTTTCCTAACCTTGTCCGGATTTCCCCCTTGTATGAGTAAACACTTGAGGTTAATCATTTTCCAATTAGCAAGTGAAATCTAACAAGTAGTCCAGGAATTGCTGGATGCAGTTGCCTTTGGGCGAATAAATTCGTTTGCCAATTAGCAAGAAAAACTCCCAGTTTACGTGAGCTTCTGAATTTTTCCCATTATTTTTGTAAGTAGGTAACTATGCAAGAAGTTAAACGATACAAAAATAATGTTTTTGTAATATAAATAACGAGCTTTGAAAAAAACACATGTATGGGTATTATTTAAAAGTAACACGACCTGGTAGTTGAATTATACCATTATAAACCATTATATTAGTATCACATGTGAAATATTTTATCATGACTTATGTACCCAATTTTTAGGAATGACAAAAGAGGAAACGAAAGACCGATTTGGGTTTCCTTTTAATTACGTTTTCAACCTTTTTTTAAGAGTGGGAGTTGTATACATTTATGCTACGTCAGGGTAATGAATATCAAGAAAACATAGTTATATAGTGCTGTTTTATATTCAATATATATTAATTTCTTGTTATTTGTTACACTTACTCAAGTTATGTTTATATTATAATTTCAAGAATACGTGTATTTGTCGTGATATTTTGTGTAATAAACTGGTTTAAATAGTGTTTGAAAGTTTTATTGCTTGAACTTCGTCATTATACGTAAAGAGAATAGCATTTTTTCGGCCTAGTTTTATTGTGTGATCAATGTGAACTACATTCGTTTATATTATTTTTGTGTGAGTGTATATGTGCGTGTGATCAGACCCTTCAATATGAACTTTGTTTTACTTATTGACTAAGAGTATGGCATAAAACTACACAAAGGATTATCTGTGCTCTGCCGACGACGAGTATCGAAACTCAATTTTTAGTGTTACAAGCCCTCAGACTTATCTCTGAGCTACTGAGGGGGCGAGTATGACACCTTAAGTACCGGTTCGCTTGTATGTCTATGTGGAATTATGTTGTAGGTATTTATGTATTTTTTTCAATAATAACATGCGAATTGGCAAAATAATTTAAACTGGTATAAGTGCAAAGAACATAATTATTACAACTAATGACATTTTGACTTATATTTTGCTATGTGCCTTCAAAGTGTTTGAAAACGTTTAAACTTAAACCGAAGGCAAGCAGAATTTAACATGCGAATTTTTATTTTTGCCATTTGTGTACTTTCTTATTTCCTTGTGCTAGAGAAGAAATTAAATGCATTTCCGCATTCGTTATTGTGAAATTCTGAAAATAAAAACGAAACAAGAACAATTACAAATTCATTATCATACATTTACTGTAAATTTGACATGAATAAAAAAGTATGTAGATAAGAATTACAATTTTAATTAATCAAACTTTGCAGTTTTTGGACCTTATCACTAGTTTTTTTATTAATTCATCCTTCAAGATACGTAGCTAAATTTAACTCTTTCAAAACGGGCTCGGTCCGTCGGATCGATCTCGCAACCATTGTTATAGTTTTCATGCTATAACTTTTAAATTAGTAAGCATTGAAGAACAAGTAATCATGAGTGCTTTGTTTGTTTGTTTTTGAATTTCGCGCAAAGCTACACGAGGGCTATCTGCACTAGCCATTTTTAATTTAACATTGTAATACTAGAGGTAATGAAACTTGTCATCACCACCCACTATTGGGATACTCTTTTACCAATGAATAGCAGGATTGACCATCACATTATAATGCCCCCACGGCTGAAAGGGCGAGCATGTTTGGTGGGACGGGGATTCGAACCCGCGACTCTCAGATTGGGAGTCGAGCATCCTAACCACCTGGCTGAAATACAGCTTAGTTACTAAGCTTGATAAATTATAATGGAATTCTATGGTATCGATATGGTAATTTATAATTTTTTGGTTATTCAACTGTGTACATAAAACCTAAGAAAAATTATTTTATTTCATATTCTCTACTTATAAACCAATGTCAAACAGAAATTGAGTATAAAGGTCGAAACTAGAAGATATAATTGTTTGCTTATAACTTATTTCTAAATATTAATAATCTATATACATAATTAATGTATAATAATTGAAATGTTACTGTATTTTACTAAATACTACTCTACTAAAACACAGCAAAGACAGGGTCACTTTATAAAGACTAAAGGTCAACTATATATTATTGGATACAGTTTATTTCCTAATTTTTTCTATTGGTTACGAGATCGGTCAAATCAATCGAACCCGTAGAGATTCGTTAGTGAAAATAACAGATAAAATATCAAGTTTTTCTTTATGAAATGTTTCATAACTATCTGGACATTATATAGATTTTGCATGTTGGATAGATAACATGTGAAAATAGAAAAAAGTATGAGAAAACATTGCTTGACAAACTTTAAGAATTAATAAAAAAATTGATATTTTTCGTATGAAAGCATTGTAATGTTTACTGATAATCTGCCAAATTTCGTTAACATACGCTTACTAATTTAAACGTTATAGCATGGAAACTATAACAAGCACAAAATGGTTACGAGGTTTGTCCGACGGACCAAGCCCGTGCTGAAAGGGTTAAACAAGTAAGGTGCTAACAGGTTGTGCTTGTTTTGCAAAGGCGCACGTCAGAAGAAAATGGGCCTTGTATGAAGATTTAACCGAAAGTCCAAACTCTGTCTCTTTTTGTGATTCTTCACTACCGTAAGTCTTTTTCTCTAGGTGCCATATCCAAACAGGACGTTGGTCACCACGGTCTTCCACAGATCTTTTCTCCTTCCTTTACCTCCAGACCGTCACTAGTTCAAGAAATAATCCAGTGCTGCTCAAGAATCAAAATAGTTCACCCTAGCCCCAATGAAACCACTTGCCCAAAAGCACCGGCAAGTAAAACGTTAAAAATAAATGCACAAAACAATAAAAAAATAAATTTACACATATCATCTATACATAATAATGGAAAATATATACCCTTTAACAAATAAAGTACAAAATAATAACATTTAACACAGAAACAAAGTCCTTTAACATAGAAATGCCTATCCCTTTTGGGAGGGGAACCTAACACGAATGCACTAGAAAATAACTTTTAAATAGATGGCCATAAAATGACACAAAATCAATGCTTTTAACTTTACAGCTTCAAATACAGTCGAAGTCTTTGTGAGAGCTTTAAGTTTCCCTCCTTGGAGCATTCAGAGGAGCTGCTCTCATCAACGTTGATGGTGGAGATCGCCATCTCAGCGAACACCTCCAATGCTGCCATGGAAGTAGTCATGGCTATCACTTGTGCTGTCGCCCATGAGGTGTTGGACAAAATCATGGAGTAGGCTTCCCATTTTGATGCAACTCCAAGAAGGTTTGCTGGGATAAGAGAGATGATTGTTAGAGGACGCACTTATAGTTCTTCTCTTGGTGCTCTGACATTACCTTGGACTTAAAGCTGGTGTTGGATTTCATCCTCTCCTTAACTCTTAGGGGCACTGGATCCAATGTTGGGCTTGACATTAAGAGATTGGCGGAACCAACACTCCCTGGATCCATCAGCTGGATACTACTAGTGAGGTGACCTTTGATGCTCCATAGAGTTAGTCCATTAATAGCCTCTTCCATAACCTTCATTGTCAGATGCATTGTCCAACAATGAATTTTCATCCATAGGCTCTGAAGACAAGAACGTTTGGCCAGCTGTTGGAGTCATTGGAGATGCCAGAAACTGAAAAATTAAAAAACACAAAAAACAGTACTTCCATCCATTGCTAATCTTGGATCAAAAACCGCAACCAAGACAACATCGTCCACAACTGGCTAGTTGAAACACAAAAATAGCCAGAAGGATTAATATTATGATTTTAAATAGAAAAAAATCAGGATTGAAAGTGCCAGGTCAAAATATTCGGATTGGTTGGAAAAACTTGGCCAAGATTGCGAAGTGAAGGTGTAATATCCCAGTTACAAAAATATTGTGTCCTAAAATGGTACTCAGAAACAGTGTGTGAAAGATAAAACTGCGGTCAAGTTCTATGTTTACAGGCTTAACCAGTCCGTAGAACATTATCCCTACTACCTATGGAAAGTTCAGTCGATTTAAATCTCAACTGTGCTCTCTGAGATTATCACGGCTATGACGATGGCTCACATCTATTTTGGAACCCCTCCACATTCTTCCACCACCATCTGGTTGTTGCACTAAACACTAGTAACTAAAATAGATCTAACAGGATGTGGGCACTAACCAAATGTTTCTGACTGTGGGGATCCATTAACACTAACATATTACTTCACTTATGACTTTCTTCAGCTACAAGTTCAGCAGATATTATTTCTCGCCTTTCATTACATACACAGTTTGCATTATAACTAACTTTGTACTAGAAAATGTTATAAATATATTTATACAACTGTGTACTTTTGGAAAATTATACATTAGGTACACCAAATCTAAATTTGTTTGCTAATGATACTGTATATAATTTAACTTTATACAGATAATTCCACCTAGCTTACTCACAATCCAATACACATGATATATTCCTGACCAACACTTGCAATCTTCTCTTATCTCATTCCATAAAATGTATCACCTTGCATAAAGTTTAATGTATGTATGGAAAAACTTTCACAGTTATACACAAATCTATATTTCTAGCTTCCACATGTCATGACGTACACCTAGTAGCTTTTCCCAGACTGTATGTGCACCTTTACCATAGTAACCTATTTTCATAAACCATCTAAAGTTATTCATGGTTCAGTAACGTGCTGTTAACTGTGAGAGGTGACACCCAACAGTTTTATAGGTCTCTCATAATAAATAATTACTGGCAGAATTTAGCTGAACTGAAATATTCCACCAAAATATCTGTTACTCGTCATCCGGTTGCTACCTTATACATTAATACAACTTCAACTCATCTTTGGCTGATTACAATAATCCACAGTAAATGGGCATTAACTGCCTGGAATGGCTACCAACCACGGATTATCACTTTATATTAGTTGGCATCACGAAAAAAGTAAACATAGATCATCTCAAAGTAATGAGAGCATGTTGGTGAAACGTCCAGTAGAGCTCGTTTCTGTGATGTTATAATGACATATGGCAAATGTTCATTCCAGTTAATTTCACCAGGATAAACAAACTTAACAAGCATACACCTTACAGTTTGTATCGCTCATTCTGCCGAGCAATTGGACTGAGGGTGTAGAGTGACGTGAGCGTTTTCACCACCTCAACGCTGTGCACAAATGGTTCTTGAAATTAGTTGACTGATCTATGTGAATCTCTTCAGGGGTAACAAAATGTTCTATCAATGCTCTATCAACACACCAGCAATGGGCTGTGCTAAAGTGTCAACTAATGGTAATGCCTTGGCTCACTTAGTGATTACGTTGGTTGATCACAGGGAGGGGCTGGTAATATCCAGAGTTATTCTCTGGATGGAAGAAACAATAATCTTTTCTGAAGTATACCCTGTTTGGGTCTCACATGGTGCAGTGCTGACACAAACAGTGAATATCATATCATGTTCAAACATGGCTAGTTGAATTCATTGAGCATAAGAATTAGTGTGGATGAAACCCTGGTGGCTTCCAAGCCTCACACAGTGCATAGTCTGGAGAATTTACCACC